AGAGGGAAGATGAGCCCAGGGTTGAGGGGCAGCAGGACTGATGCTCTGGCTTTGGAGTGGGAAGGTGAGCCCAGAGCTGAGGAGCAGCAGGGCTGGGTGATGCTCTGGGTCAGGAGAGGGAAGATGAGCCCAGGGTTGAGGGGCAGCAGGACTGATCCTCTGGAGAGGGAAGGTGAGCCCAGGGCTGGCTGATGGACACGGAGGGTGAGCCCAGGGCTGTCTCTGGACAGGGAAAGTGAGCCCAGGGCTGTGGGGAAGCAGGGCTGGCTGATGCTCTGGCTCAGGACAGGGAAGCTGAGCCCAAGGTTGGGGGGCAGCAGGAATCAGGAATGGCTGATGGCCAGGGAAGCTGAGCCCAAGGTTGGGGGGCAGCAGGAATCAGGAATGGCTGATGGCCAGGGAAGCTGAGCCCAGGGCAGGGTGGCTGATGCTCTGGCTCTGGACAGGGAAGCTGAGCCCAGGGCTGTGGCTCCCGCTCTCCATCTGCCAGGGAAAACAACTCCAATGGTGCTGGAGCTTTGCTTAGAGGATCAGGTGGCCAGAGTAGGAACCAAAAGTGGAGTTGGGTTACTCCAGGCTCATCCATAATGAACACAGGGCAGAGCCTCAGGCAGGGAGGGGAAGGGCTGGATCCCCCAGGACTGACAGGGAGACACCATTAAAGAGGCTCCAGGGCACCTTTATTTAGTGTAGAGACTCTGAATAGGATGAAAAAGTGTCACAATAAATGGGGAGGGGTTTTTTCCTGTGGGTTTGCAGGTCGTGCTTGGGGCATCCTTCCCATAGAGCCCCAGGGCAGAGCAAGAGTGGGGCCTCCAGAACCAGGGGGACCAAGGGGAGCTGCCCCCTCCTCACCCCAGAGCCAGCTCAGGTTCCTGGGGCCACCAGCCAGGCAGAGCCTTCACAAAGTGGCTGCCAGGCAGCTCCAGTGCCCAGGTGGCATTTGGGGACCTCCAGTCCCCAAAAGGAGTTTGGGGCAAGGAGTGAAGCTGAGCAGTGCTGGAGAGAGGGGAGAAAGGGGCAGGGGCAGCAGTGGGGTCAGTGGTCCCACTCCCTGGCCCCCAGCTGCATCCACAATCCTGTGGTGGTGTGAAATGGTGACACCTCCCTCTTGGTTTGATTTGTTGGAAGAAAAAGGGAAATGTGGCAAAATGAAGACACACAAAATAAAAGAAAAAGGTGCCACAGAATCAGAATAGAATTGGTGAGGTTGGAAATCCCTCTAAGATCAAGTGCAAGCCCAGCACTGCCAAGGACACCATTGTCCCTCAGTGCCACATCCCCACATCTGTAAAAGATCACAGAACCCTGGAATATCCTGAGGGGAAGGAACCCTCAGGGATCATCAGTCCAACCCCTGTCCCTGCACAGACACCCCAACAACCCCACCCTGAGCATCCCTCAGAGCAGTGTCCAAACACTCCTTGAAGATCCTGTCCCATCCTTCCAAAATTGCCCTGAGCAATGGGTTTAATCCCAGAGATTGCTGCTCTGGGATAATGGGATCAGGAAATTACCCTGGAGGTGTCATCCTTCCCTGGGCCCTGAGCACAGGGAGGCAGTAACAGCCCCCTGGGGCTGTCCCATGTGCCACCAGCCCGTGGGGACAGGAGGGAGGGTGACACCAGCCTTGGGTGTCCTTTACCAGCACTGAGGGTGTGAGGAGCAGGAGATGCTGGGCTGGGCCAGCTCCTGCTGTCCCTGCTCCACCACTGTCACCTCTCTGGGGGATCTGGGTCCCCATCACTCTCCTTCTGTGCCCCCCTAAGCCAAGCAGCAGCCACCTCAAAATGGGCCCTTTGGGGACCTTTTAGACACTGAGCACCTGCAGTGGCACCGAGGTGGGGCACTGCAGCCACACCTCAATGGCCTTGAGCAGCCACAGATGTCACATTGTCCTCTTCCCTTGCTCCACATCCTGCTGGGCTCCCACAGACAGGTTTGGGGCCAGCCCAGAGGGGCAGAAGGGAGTGTGAGAGGGGCTGGAACCAACCCTCAGGGACTGCACCCCAGTTTGTCCCAGTGCTGTGGGGGCGATGGCACAAAGCCCCCCACGCTGGAGATGACAGTGCCCCATTCCCTGCACCTCCCCAGGGGCTGGTTCTGCTCTTGGCACCCCCAATATTCTCATGCCAGGCTCAGCAACACCCAACCGAGCAACTCTGCCGCTTAATTAGGTTAATGACCGTGCTTCATTAAGGAAAGGAGTCTGCGGTGGCGTTTCCAGGCAGATTTGGGGCACGGATGGGGACAGGGAGAGGGAAAGGGGAGGCAAAGAAAAGGGAAAGCGGCAGCCAAGTGCTAATCCCTGGAAAGGAAAGGAGAGCAGGCGGGGAACGGCGCCGCGGGGTCGGAGTTAATCCCTGCTCGGCAAAGATGGAGCCCGGGGCCGCCTTAACCTGGGATCTGAGAGGGCGGGACCGGGATGGGGACGGGGACGGGGATGGGGACAGGGACGGGGACGGGGACAGGGGACTGGGCCCTACATGTGGCATTGAGCATCCCCTGTCCTACGGGACCCCTCCAAGACAGGGGCCCTCGGATAATTTGTGCCACTGGATGAGACCTCACACCAGGAGCAGAGGGAATGGGACATCCCAGCGTGTCACCAGAGAGAATGGGGCATCCCTCCTGTGTGACCAGAGGGAATGGGACATCCCTCATGTGTTACCAGAGAGAATGGGACATCCCATCTCTGTCACCAGAGGGAATGGGACATCCCTCATGTGTCACCAGAGGGAATGGGGCATCCCAGCTGTGTCACCAGAGGGAATGGGACATCCCAGCTCTGTCACCAGAGGGAATGGGACATCTCAGCTCTGTCACCAGAGGGAATGGGACATCTCAGCTGTGTCACGAGTTGGCAATGTCTCTGCCAGCATCTCTTTGCTCCTGCCCTGCCCTTGGGGTGTCTGTGCATTATCCCAGGGTGCTCACCACCCCCTCTGCCCGTGCCTGCACCATCAGAGGCACAGGGAGGCTGAGCCAGTGGGAGCAGAGGCTCAGGTGTGGGTCTGCAGCTCTGTCTCCTCTCAGAGACCTCGCCCCTTGCCTCAGTTTCCCTGTTCCAATAGAGAGCGAGGTTCATTTATCCCAGCTTTGCACAGGGCAGGATCCCCAGGTTGCACAGTTGGTGAAAGGGATCCAGGGGTTTTCCTGGAGGGAATGGGGCCTCATCAACCCCAGGGCCTTGGGGAGCAGTGTCCAGTCCCAGCTCAGACAGGCGATCCATGGGGCCTGGTACTGTTGCGTTGTGATTTCAGGGTTTACCTCAGAACCTCGGGTCCCTCGAGGTAATTCCCTCCCAGGTGTGTCAGTCACCTCTCCCTTCCCCTCCCAGCACTGTCTGTCAGTCCTGGCATTCCAGGAGGGATTGGCAGATCCAAAGGATGCCCTCTACCCCCGGGGGCATTGGGCCATCCAGGTGTCCTTTGTCCCTTTGTCCCTCCCCTCCTGTCCCTGCTTGGTGCCTCCCTGCCCCTTCCCTGCCCCTCTCCCCGGGGTTCAAAGGAGCAGCAGCCACGGGCTCAGGGAGTTCTGTTGGAGCTGGTGCTGCATTCAGAGGCCAGAATAAAGCTCTGGATCCAAACCCTCCAGCAGAACCGACTCCTTTCCTTCACCATCACCTTAAAGCTTCTCCAGCAGAGGGAAACCTGAGGAGCAGCCCCTGTTATGGGGGAGAAACTCCATCCCAGCACCACCAGAGCTCCTGCAGGCCTGGACTTGTCTCCACGTGCCAACTGCAGCACCCAGGCAGCCAAAAGTGTCTGTGGGGTGAAACACCACACACCCAGCCAGCCCAAAGTGTCTGTGGGGTGAAACACCACAGTTGCTGCTATTTGGTTCAGCACCTCTTGGGTTTTTGGTTGTTAATTGCTGTCCCAGATGTGCAGGATGTCTCTGTTTCAGCCCGCACGTCTGAAGAATGAGTCAGAGCTCTTCAGTTTTCGGTCTTGAAGTTGTTTATTAATTCTTATCTATAAAATTTTCTTTCTGCCCAGCCGAGATCTGCTCAGCAGGGCAGCCACAGGCACTCTGACCACCCCTGAGGGGGTGTTGTCTTTTTATACCACAAACTACGTATAACATATTTACACTTAATTCCCAATACCTATCACCTATGTTAGACAGTGCACCTCTACTGTAAACCAATCCCAAAGTGCCAACAGCACTGCAGAAAATGGAGAACAAGAAGAAGAAGAAAGGCTGGACATGCCCAAGTTCCTCCATCTTGTGCCCATAACCCCCATACCAAAAATGCTAAAATCTACATTTTCACCCTGTGATCATTTTATTATTGTACTATTTAAACTTCTGTGACTTTCAGGTCCTCATACAAAGCTGGTAACTTGCTCCAGGGGTCACAATCAAACCCGGAGGTGCTCTGGGCTTTGTGCCAGGGTCTCCGAGCTCCCTATCAGGGTTCTCAGCAACTCTGGACACCCGGAGGGATGCACTGAGTTCCGACAAGCACCAAGGGTCAGACAAGCTCAGGCATGTCCTGTCTGCAATATTGGTAATTATTCCAATAGGGTACTGTCGCAGATATCTTTTATGAAAAATCCTTTCCTTAGGATTTTTCCACCTGAGAAGCTGAGAGGCCTCAGGAACAAAATGTAAACATTGATTATCTGCTGCTGTGGAATGCAACAGGTGGATCTGTGATTAGTCCATGTTAAATGTTTCTAATTAATGGCCAGTCATAGCCCAGCTGGCTCGGACTCTGTCTGAGCCACAAACCTTTGTTATCATTCCTTGCTGTTCTATTCTTAGCCAGCCTTCTGATGAAACCTTTTCTTCTATTCTTTTAGCATAGTTTTAATGGAATATATATCATAAAATAATAAATCAAGCCTTCTGAAACATGGAGTCAGATCCTCATCTCTTCCCTCATCCAAGAGCCCCTGTGAACACGGTCACAGGGTACGACCTTGTCCCTGCTGACTCTGCTCTCTCTGTTGTCACAGGCACATGGCAGAGCAGCAGTGAGCCCCTAGACCATGCCCCACACCATGAGATGGTGGCTCCCGCTGCTGGCCCTGCTGCTGTCCCCGCGGGCGGGCGCGTGCCCCGCGCGCTGCGAGTGCGCGCCGCAGCTGCGCTCGGTGCTGTGCCACCGCCGCCGCCTCACCGCCATCCCCGAGGGCATCCCCAGCGAGACCCGCGTGCTGGAGCTCAACAAGAACCGCATCCGCTGCCTCAACCCCGGCGACCTGGCGCCCTACCCGCTGCTGGAGGAGCTGGATTTCAGCGAGAACATCATCTCCAATGTGGAGCCCGGCGCCTTCAGCAACCTGTTCAACCTGCAGACCCTGCGGCTGCGGGGGAACCAGCTCAAGCTCATCCCCCCGGGGGTCTTCACCAAGCTGAGCAACCTGACCCTGCTAGACATCAGCGAGAACAAGCTGGTCATCCTGCTGGACTACATGTTCCAGGACCTGCGCAACCTGAAGAGCCTGGAGGTGGGCGACAACGACCTGGTGTACATCTCCCAGCGTGCCTTCTCAGGGCTGCTGGGCCTGGAGCAGCTGACCATTGAGAAGTGCAACCTGACCTCCATCTCGGCCGAGTCGCTGTCCTACCTCCAGAACCTGGAGGTGCTGCGGCTCCGGCACCTCAGCATCTCCGCGCTGGAGGACCAGAACTTCAAGAAGCTCTACAACCTCCTGCAGCTGGAGATCGACAACTGGCCACTGCTGGAGGAGGTGTCCCCTACCAGCTTCCAGGGCCTGAACCTCACCTCGCTCTCCATCACCTACACCAACATCACAGCCGTGCCCGCCGCTGCCTTGAGGAACTTGGTGTACCTGCGGTACCTCAACCTGTCCTACAACCCCATTAGCACTGTGCTGAAGGGCTCCTTCAAAGACCTCATCCGGCTCCAGGAGCTCCACATCGTGGGCGCTCTCCTGGTGTCCGTGGAGCCGCAGGCTTTCTCCGGCCTGAGACAGATCCGGCTGCTCAACCTCTCCAGCAACTTCCTGTCCACGCTTGAGGAGAGCACCTTCCACTCGGTCAACACGCTGGAGACGCTGCGGGTGGACAGGAACCCCCTGGCCTGCGACTGCCGCCTCCTCTGGATCCTGCAGCGGCGCAAGACGCTCAACTTTGATGGGCAGCAGCCCATGTGCTCCTCACCGCCCGAAATCCAGGGCAATGCCCTGCGTGACTTCCCAGACTCGGTGCTCTTCGAGTACTTCACCTGCCAGAAGCCCAAGATCCGGGATCGGAAGCTGCAGCACGTGACGGCGCGGGAGGGACAGTCCGTGTCCTTCCTGTGCCGCGCCGACGGGGAGCCCGACCCCTCCATCGCCTGGGTGTCCCCCCAGCACCGCATGATCACCACCCGCAGCACGGGCCGGGCCACGGTGCTGCCTGGGGGCACCCTGGAGATCCGTTTTGCCCAGGTGCAGGACAGTGGCACCTACATCTGCATCGCCAGCAACGCCGGTGGCAACGACACCTACTTTGCCACGCTGACGGTCAAGGGGCGCCCGGCCGACGGCGCCCACCTCGCCAACCGGACTTTGTACCTCAGCGACTTCAACGACACCTTCCACAACAACACCCAGGTCTTCTTGAAGTTCACCTTGGACCTCAAGACCATCCTGGTCTCCACGGCCATGGGCTGCATCACCTTCCTGGGCGTGGTGCTCTTCTGCTTCCTCCTGCTCTTCGTCTGGAGCCGCGGCCGGGGGCAGCACAAGAACAACTTCTCTGTGGAATATTCCTTCCGCAAGGTGGATGGCCCCACCACCACCACCGGCCAAGGAGGGGCCAGGAAGTTCAACATGAAGATGATCTGAGCCTCTTCCAGAGGAGAACCATTTTTTGCAGCCCAGTCCTCGGCTGGGAGGGCTGTGGGAGCACCGGCCATGTCCCAGAGCTGGCAGAGTGACCTTGCTGTGCTGGGACATGGCTGGAGACAGAGGTGCCACAAGCCAGCAGGATCAGAACTGTGGGGACCTCAGGGTCGGGGAGGGATGACCCCGATGTCCTGGCCCTGTCGAGAGCCCTCAGGGCTCAGGGGCTGTCCCAGGGGCTCCTGATGTAGCGAGGTTTTTGCTACCAACTATGCATTTCTTGAGCCAAAAGATCAGCAGTGTTTGGGCCTGGGAGAAAAATGCTTCCTGTTTTCCTCCCACCCTTTCCCTTTTTTTGTAAGGGACTCTTCAGAAAACTTTCCTGGTAGTTGTTTGTGGTTCTTTTCTTGTTGTTGGTGGGGGTTTTGGTCCAATTTTTTTTTTTTAATAAATTTCCAAGAGAAAAGTCTTCCGGGGCGATGCAGGACTGGGGAGGTTGTGCCAAGCTTGGGGGTCCCCCAGCCCCTTGGCAAAGACAGACCCCCCTCCTCCCGGGCACAGATGTGCCTTGAGAGCTTTTCATCCATGGATTTAAAATCCAGCATCTGCCAATGTGGGTGCCCGGGGACACTTCTGCACAAGCAATAATAACCCTCCAGGGCCAGGCTCTGAGGAGGTGTCAGCAAGAAGAAAAAGGGAAAAAAAGGCAAAACGAGGGCAAGATCATTAAAATCAGGAAGAGCAACCCCAGGGTGATGCAAGGCCTCCCCATCTCTGCATCCACCCAATGGAGGGTTGGGATTCCTACGGGTTCAAAAGGCACTTTTGGGTTAATTTTCTTGGAGTTGCAAAGTCAAAATCTGCAGAAGAGCAGGACCTGGTTCATCGTGTGCAGGGAGGTGCTACAGCCCAGGAAAGAAGAGGAGAGAAAAGCTGGGAAGAAGCAGTCCAGGAGAACATCCTGGCTGACACCTCCATCCCAGATCCGGCACCCTCCGACGCTGACGACCACAGGTCAATGTCCCTGGGGCTGCTTCTGCTGCCACAGCAGTGGTTCCTGCCTTCCCATCCCACCCCTTCCCAGGCTTTGCCCTGGCTCTGCCTCAGGGTGTGGATTTTTGTGTGAGGGAGAAGGAATGAAGCTGGAATGGAAGAGCCTGGATGTGACCTGGAGGATCCAGGGAGTTCATTGCTTCCTCCTCTTCCTCCTCCCACGTGCACTCTGGGGGTTGCTGCAGGTCCCACCTCTGTCCCCATTCCTGCAGGGATATTCCCCACCTGGATGTCCCTTCTCCAGCCAGTGATGGTCAGGCTGGGAGCTGGAGGGAGCAGCTGCCCATTCCCTGATGGGCATCGTGGAGTGGCACCGGAGCATCTGAGGGGTTGGGAGCTTTGTGGGGCACAAGTGGCTGCTCAGAATATCCCCCCAACCCTGTTCTGCTGCCACAGGGTGCCCCCCACCCATCCATCATCCATCCATCCATCCATCATCTGTCCACCCATCCATCATCCATCCCCCATCCATCATCAATCCATCCATCCATCCATCATCCATCCATCCATCATCCATCCATCATCCATCCATCCATCATCCATCCATCATCCATCCCCCATCCATCCATCATCCATCCATGTCCATCTGTCCATCCATCCATCCATCCATCATCCATCCATCCATCCATCCATCCATCCATCCATCCATCCATCATCCATCCATCCATCATCCATCCATCATCCATCCATCATCCATCCATCCATCCATCCATCATCCATCCATCCATCCATCCATCCATCATCCATCCATCCATCCATCCATCCATCCATCCATCCATCCCTCCATCCATCCATCCATCATCCATCCATCATCCATCCATGTCCATCCATCCATCATCCATCCATCCATCCATCCATCCATCCATCCATCCATCCATCCATCCATCTCCATCCCTCCCTGCCGTGGGTCCGTCTGTCCCTGTGGCCTCTCATGCCCGGTGCCCCTCATCCCCAGCCGTGCATGCCGTGTCCTCCCAGGGTCCTGTTTGGTGTCTGGGGTTTTTTTATCCTTGGGGAGGGGATGGGAGGGGGGGTGGGAGGGCAAGGAGGGGGTCGGGCATGGACCCTCACAGTGGGAGCAAAGGACAGTGCAGACCTGGCACAATTTTCTATGTAACGAGCATGTGAGATGTATTTGTGAGCAAAACAAAAAAAAAAAAAAAAAAAAAAAAAAAAAAAGGAAAAAAAGGGATTTTTGTGGCTCATTTGGGTTTTTCTCCCCCTTTTATTCCCTATGTGCCTCGATAAGAAAAGGCAAAATCAGTGGGCAAAGCCTGAGCAGGAGCTGGAAAGGGCAGGAGCACCAGAATTCACAGCTCTGAGCTCTCCAGAGCTGCTGCAAGCTGGGAAGCTCCTGGAATTCCAGCAGTCCTTCCCCCCTTCCTGGGGCTCTGCGGGGATTTGCAGCCCCTGAGTCCATCCCCACCATCAATCCCACAAACCCCACATAAACAGCGTGAAAGCACCTCCCAGAGGGTGCCAAAGTCCATATTAATAACTAATAAATGATTAATGCACGTGTGCTAACAGACTGCTGCTGCTATTAATCGATTATTAATTATTAATGCCGTGTTTAGGAGGATGTGCCAAAAGTGGAGGGTGCAAAGGCAGCACCTCGAATCCTGCTGGCAGGAAACTTGGGGTTTGGGGGGGTTAAAAGGAGTCACATCCACCCCAGAGTGCGCACAGGGAGCCAAATCCCTTGGATGGGGCCAGAAAATCGGGCATATGCCAGGGGAAACTGAGGCACAGGGGGGCACTGCAGTGGGGCAGGAGCCAGTGGGGAAGAGGAGGTGGTTCCTCTCCACAGAGTGACCCTCCCAGTGCCCTCCTCATTCCCCCAGCCCCAGGGCACAGCCTGGCCCTCGCAAGGCCACCCCTGCCCTTGGTACAGCTGCCACTGCTGTCCCCACCACGGGCTCAGCCAGCCCAGGGTCTCCTGGCTAAAGAGAAAGAGAAGCTGGGAAAAAAGTTATGGAAATGGTGCCTTGGAGCATCCAGGGGTGTTCCAAGAGGTTAGAGAAAGTCCCAGGTGCTGCCTGGAAAGATCAGACTCAAACTGGGTGTTCCCATGGACCAGATCATCCATTCCAACTGCAGGAACTACCAAAAAAAAAAAAAAAAAAAAAAGCAGATTTTCTTGGTCTCTCTATATATTAACATCATTTTGCTTGGAAACTCCAAACAGGAGCACATCCACACTGAAACACAGACATTTTAAACCATCCCATTCACTGATTTTCGGGTAAAAACATCATAATTTTAACCAGTTACCCTTTGGAGAGGCCACGTCCTGAGAGCTGCACCTTCCATGGGCCAGTGTTATGTTTGCACCAGTTTTATGTTTGAGGGGGCCACCTGTCCTTGTGTCCCCCTCAAGGGGGCAATGCCCCTCCCCAAAGCCCCCATGTCCCTTTGCCAGGCTCAGTGCCCTGTCCCCTGCCAGCCCTGGCTCTCCCAGCACAGACTGGGCTGGCACTGGGAGCAAAGCAATATTGTAAATCAAAGGTGACTCCAGCGAAGGGGAGAGAATGATGAGGAGGATTCTATGGATATCAGAAGGTTAATTAATTACTTTATTATACTATTGTCTTGGTTTGGAAAGACAGGTGCCTGCTAAGGAAGGCAGGAGCCTCCCCTGAAATGGATAAAATGAACCTCTCCCCTCTGAATTGCTATGAATTTTAAATTAAGGGGCTCTCAGGCAACAAAAATTATGGGAACAGGAAATACCAGTTCTTTAATAGGGAAGAAAATAAAAGGATAAAATAAACAATGCAGTAAACCAAACAACACTACCAGAGTCAGAACCCAGCCTGACACCCTGTGGGTCAGGGTGCTGGCAGCAGAACCATTGGAATTGTGACTCAGCCCTCCTGCAGTGTCAGGGGTGGCTCTGCTGGAGCAGGGATCCTGGAGAAGGGTGGAATCTTCCTCTGAAGATCCAGTGGCAGAGGCAGCTGCTGCTCCTCTGGGAAATCCAGTGCAGAAGCTGTGCTGGTGTTCCAGGATCTCCAGATTATATCCAGGCAGGAATGCTTGGCTGGTGTTCCAGAATCTCCAGATTATATCTGGGCAGGAATGCTTGGCTCCTCCCTCTGGGCTCACATCTCCCATGGGATTCTGTAGTTCTTATCAGCCATGCAGGGACATTCAATAGCTGTTATCAGCAGATGTCCCCTCTCGAGGGAGGAGTGGAAGAGATAAGGGAAACTGCCCACTGAACAGAAGACAGCTGCCATGGAGATGGTAATAGAGTACATCTTGCCTTGCAATCTGGAACAACTCTACATTTTATCTAAACTGAATCCACTAAACACTCACTCTGCACACAACTGTTTACACTGCACTGAATCTCATGGCTGTTAGCTCACAGTCCCAACACACACACACAGTTGGGCCTGATAGGCCAAGGAAACAAAACATCTTCACTTTGGATAAACAATCTCTATATTTGTCCTGGTTTAGGGCAAATTTGGGAGAAAACCTCCAAAAGGGGCCCCTCCAGAAAGCAAACCCACAGGGCTCTTCCCTCCAACTGGTTTGGAAAGATTCCTCTGAGAGAAGTGGAAAGAACCTGTTTATTTAACAGGCACAGCACCCCCCAGCACACAAAATGAACAATACCAGATGACACCACTCTTTCACCACTCTGAAAAAGATGACAACTTCAGAAAGTCTCTCTTGGGGTGGTCGCTCTGTTCTCAGTCCCTCCTGTGCTGGGGCAGCTGCTGCAGCCACAAGGTGCAAACTCTCGGTGTTTCCCAGGTCCCAGTCCAGAGCAGGTTCGAGTAGGTCCAAAAAAGGGAAAGGAGAAACAGTCCAGGGAAAAGTTGGGCTGCTAATGACTAACTAATGAGCAGAAGCAAAAAGCAGGAGCAAAGCAGAAGCAAGAGCAAAAGCAAAGCAAAAAGCAAAAGCAGCACCCATGTACTGCCCCATTTCTGTGTCCC